GCTAACCACATCATAAATGCTATGGAGATAGTGACTATCTCTCTTGTTCATCATCCCCAGTGCATGAGCCATAATAAGTAGGTACCAAGTAAGTTACCTTGAAATGAATAATGAATTAGTCTTGAAACAACCATCATATATTTCTTTCAATTCTCTTGTATAGGCAAGTGGCTCTTACTTTTGTTTATGTGTTTGCTACTATATAATTAAGGATATAAATGTCTTCCTCAGGAAAAAAATGTTAATTAAGGTAGTGTCACAGAGCCACATTGCAGGGGCACTTGAGCAGAAACAACCTCACTCTTAGCATCCATTTAAACCAAGACTGGGGCCCAAAATATTCTGAGAACGCATTCTTTCAGATTTCCCCAAGAACTGTGCTCTTGAACACAGGCCTTGCTCTCTATTTATTGAAACCATACATCCAGCATGAAATGGGAAAGGAAAAGCAGAATTTGTTTTATCAGGGAATTTGACCCCTACTGACCTAGAAGCACACACAACCATGAACAAATGTTATCAATTTAACCTCACCTGTTGTTTGCAGCACAGATGGGATAATCTGTGGGTCTTAACAAATATTCACTGATTGATGTATTTAATATTCACAATTTACATACATATACACATACATATATACATTATTCTGGGTCAAGGGCAAGGAAGAATCCTGTGAGATTCAAGCTATATTTTTAGCTTACAAAAAGAGCCCAAGGGCTAGCAGGCATGTTTACATGTGTTAAAAGGTATGAAAACATAAGATTAAGATTATGTAAAAGTCATTCCAACAGCTTGATATAAATGCATTTCTTTGGCAAAATGCTAACTACCATTATTTCACTAGCTGTCATTGATTTTAAAGATATGCAAGAACTTTTTCATCATCTTTAAGACTTGAAATTGCTGTTTTGGATTAATTTTGTGTTCATTTTGCATATCTGATTATTACTGGAAAGAGATGAGGTATCCTGGCATAGTTACACAATTTGTGTTAGGAAAGTGGATAGATTTTGATAATAGTAGTTGAAAAACCCTGACCAAGTTATACTTCACATACTAAATATTGTTAATCTTCAAGATCCTTTAATTTCCCAGTGGTTTTATAATGATGCATACAAAATTTTCTCCCTAAAATAATGTCCCATGACTTCATTCTATTATTACACATCTGTCAAAACTGACAGGCTGTTCAGACCCATGTATGATGTTCACAGCGACACCTGAAAGGATGAGGCTGGAATGATTTCTAAATGGCCATACTTACTCTCTTATAACTCATGAAGAGAAAAGATGGAAAAAAGAAAAGAAAAGGCAGGCCCCTTTGAGTAGCAGCTGGAACATGCCCCCTGCTTTACTTAAATAGAGATATGTATATACAATGGTAGAGTTTATTTTGTATTTGGTCTTGAATTGAATTTGGGATCAACATATTGAATATTAATGGGCTTGTTTTAAGCTCAAAGTATTATAAATAAATGACTGGATTCTCTCACATAGCTCTTGAGGATGTCTACGTTAAGGAAAGATGTTTATTGAATTGTATTCTTTTTGTTGCTGTTGTCATTTATTCTTTTTTATAATTTATTATTGAATTTTTATGTATTTCATACATAACATTATCTTTATACCTCCTCCCCCCTTCCTCTTTGACACCCTCCCGTATCCCTCCCCACTGGAGTTCATACATTCTGTGATTTGTATTAAGGCCTATTATGTAAAGTTAGTGTCCTGAGATGTCCTGCAGTGCAAGTTCATCCACCAGGCTTTAGTCAGCCTATCTAGAGTGTATCTCTTCAAGAATATCTGCTCTTCCTCACTTAGCAGTAACCAGCTGCCAATAATTCTTTGACTAAGATTAGGGCTTGCTGTTCATTTCCACAGTTCTGTGCTGGATTTTTGTCTCCCTAAGTTTGCATGGGTCTTCTGCATGCTGACAGCATTGCTGTAGGTTTGTATGAGAAGAGTCCCTGGGGCTTGTATAACTACTTCTGTATGGTCATGCTCCTCCTCCCTGACTCTTGCAATCTTCTACCCGCCTCTTCTGCAATGGTCTCTGCGCCCTGGATGGGTGGACCTCAATATAGGCAACCTGTCCAAAGACTCACACTCTGCTGACTCTTATTCTCTGCATTTTGGCCATTTGTGGACCCTTGTGTTCCTGGACCTCTGTTACATGAAGAAGCTTCATAGATGAAAATTCAAAGACGCATTAGTGTTCTCTTCATCCATTGTTCTATGAGTCTTAGGAGTTGTATTTAGAAGTTGCATCCTAAATGTGATACTTAGGCTTGGGCAATTCACAGAGAATCTCTGTGTGACCAGCGGTGTAACTCTGCCATAATTTCTGTCTGTTGAAAAGAAGCTACTTTGATGGGTGGTGAATGGGATACTTGTCCGTAAATTTAAGGATCCATATTTCGCACATAGTAGCAAATTATATTTGTCTAGAGATATGTGACTTCTCCAGCAATGTATATTTGGCTAGGTTTACAGTACCACATATGAATTTCCTCCCATTGAGGTGGTTTTAAGTCCAGTTAGGTAGCTGTTGATTATCCCCAAGATAAAAGTGCCACTACTGCACCAATGTCATTTGCTGTGCAGGTCATTGATGTGGTTTTTAGGGCTTGGAACATTGATTGATGCACCAGCTTGCATAGTACTCTCCAA